TTTTTTTACATTCTAGTAGTGAACTGTTGAATAACTTTTTTTCTAGTTGTAACAACAAAGTCTTCTATAACTCTCTTTTTTTTACATTCTAGTAGTGAACTGTTGAATAACTTTTTTTCTAGTTGTAACAACAAAGTCTTCTATAACTCTCTTTTTTTTACATTCTAGTAGTGAACTGTTGAATAACTTTTTTCTAGTTGTAACAGCAAACTCTTCTATAACTCTTTTTTTTTACATTCTATTAGTGAACTGTTGAATAGCTTTTTCGAATTATCCATTGCAGCGAACTACTTAATAACTACATTTCTTATCAATGATAGAGTCTGAAATTTATCAGAATTTACTAATGCAGATATGTTTAAGTTTGCGGATAATACTGCCTTACTCTTTAATTAAAGTAATACATGGGATGATGTATGTGAAAAATCATCTCGGGATTAAGTATAATTTAGATAATAACATTTCAACTCTGAATGTAAAAACAACGAAATACACAACGCTTTCATATAATATAATTACACAACCTAATAATACAAACATTATGTACATTGTAGTAAAACAGATTGTCATTGTCCCAATTTCAGTGTAATTATGAAAATTAAGAAATAAAATATTTAGGTATTATAATAGTCTCAAATGGGATAAGCATGTTAATTATCTTTCTTCAGGATTGGAAAATTAATACGTGCATTTAAACAACATGGAAGAGTATTTAATTTTAACTTGTTAAAGTTAACATATTATGCGTTTATTCAGTCGACTGCTCAATATAGTATACCAGTAGTAGAAGAATGATATTAAAATAACTTAAAAACGTTGATTAAAATGTAAAAATTGTTATTAAAGTTACTAGCCGCGACTCACAAAACATTTGTGGTAGTTTTCATGCCCTTCCCTTGAATTTTCCATATTCTATCATTTTCACGCATGACATTTACGCTACGCTTTCTTTTACGCGGTCAGACAAACAAACTCAGATAAACGTAACTTTATTTAATACAAGTAAAGTAAACAATAAAGTAATTATATATTTAATAGTATACAGAGTATGAAACAGTTATGGTCTTTCAAAGTTAGGCACCGTTTTACCAATTGAACAAAAGTAACTCACAAAAACGAATAATAAACCCGTAGTAAAGAAAAAGTAGATAAAAGGTTTTTATAGCAGTCTATGAAACGAACTGAAGCTAAATTATGTAAAGTTGTAGAGAAGACCGCTGATTATGTAGAAATGTCTGAATGGGTGTTCACAAAGTGATAAGCATACTGTTTCGAACGAACTGCGCATGCGTATTTTAGACTTAAATAAGTCGAGAAAGCCCATAGCAATTCTATTTAGTGTATTGTTAATTTTTTAGGAAATTACACGCGGGTTAAGTGTTGTTTGTGTGAAATACTTTGTAAATAAAAAAAAGTAATGTTGAAACTGATGCAGTCGTTGCATGACGACAACGACATTGTGCCATCGTGTTGCATACTCGTAGCATTAAAAGATTTGATAAAGCAAAAAAAAACAGGTAAGGTGATTGTGAATTGAAAAGCTAATATACAATCCGGACTCCTCAGACAGAGGCCTTTCTAACCATATGAGATTTGTAGCGTTTGATCGAGAAATTTGCGAGGACAGACAAACACAAGCGTATTATTTATACAGATTCTAAATCACCCTGTAAATTACCCTACAAATCTGTTGACAGAGATTAAAGTAATGACTGTTAAATTGTTCTTGTTAATCAGTATGCGATATTGAATATAACTTCTTTTGTTGATCATGAATATTACACAACATATAAATCTGATAAGTCCATTATTGATATTCCATTTATTCAAAATAATTTGGCCCTAAACCTTTTGTTCCTTGCATGGTCTGATGGTCAGGGCGATTGACTTTAACATGCTCACCTGTTATAATATGACGGTCAATCCCACTTTTCGTTGGTAAAGAGTAGCCCAAAATGTAGCGGTGGGTGGTGCATTCCTTCTCGTCTACCACTTCTAAATAAGGGACGGCTAGCGCAGATAACCCGCGAGTGTCTTTGCATGAAATGCATCAAATAAACCAAAATTTTGTAGTCTATAACAAAAACCTAAAGGGTAGGTTTCTTAATTTGTGAAATCGTTAAATTACAAAAACTGATCCTACTGAGATCTTGTTCAACAATTCATATTAAGTTTAAAAGGGATATTGTAATTTTCTATTTACTATTAGTAGTATAATTTGTGTCAGCAGTTACTTCTCAGAACTCTTTGTTGTTATATTTTTGGATTATTGTACCATTAGTGTGGTCGTTTGTTAAATAAAAGGGTAAGTTTATCAGGAGTAGCATGTTTCGCTAGATCAGAGCCGAGTACTTCCTGAATTGGTGGCAAAAAATCTGTCAGAACGATCCTAATCAAACATGTCGGGCATTCTAGCGGTTTTCATTTTTTGACTAACACAGACAAAGAGAAAATATAGCCATAAAACGAGGAAAATGACCAACTGAACAGAGCGAATGTCGTACTTTGATCGTCTACATGACCTTAATAAAACCTGCAGCTGTCTTTACGAGATACAGTAAAACAAATGCATACCAAACCTACAGGTGGCGCGACGAGCTAGATTAACGCATGCTATACAGTATACACTATTCTGAAAGTTTCTCTTGTGAAGTTATTTTAATTGTGTAACTAAGTTAAAATATAATTATTACTTACATATACATATTCTTAGCTATAGGGTATGTCGAGAAATCATACATATATTCACCAGTCAGAGCCTCGTGTTTGTCGGTTTCCAAAAGAATGTGTGTATATATCATTCAGATCATAAAACTTTAAAATGTTCAATACGTTTTATTGGGTTCTGTAACCAGACCATTTAAACCTTAGAACATTTAGTATTGTAACAGTAATGTATTGTTTGAAGTTAAGCACAAAGCTACACAACGAGGTATCTTTGCTCTACCCACCACGGGGAACGAAATCCTGTTTCTAGCGTTGTATGTCCGCAGACATATCGCTGTGCCACTGAGGGGGGAGTAATAGTAGTGTATATTGGGTTTGTAACTAAACTTTTTAGGGATGTTGATACATTATTAACACAATAACTTGGGCACGAATATTTCAGGATGACGGTAGCTCTCTTTAAATCTATCTAAAAATAACGAATTTCGAAGAAGAACTGAGAAATATAAATTTTTAGCCTTGACATAGCAGCACATAGAATTTTTCAAGTACAAACTTTTAGCTCATAACTCCGTCAACTGTTGACGGATTTGAGATCTAATTACAGTTTTGAACTCATTGATTAATTTA